ACGTAACCTAAACATTTTTATCACCCTAACATGCAAAAAAAAAAAAAAAAAAAAAAAAAAGACATCTGACTATTCCTCCCCCGCTTGAAAATTTTCAGTGGCTTATTATTGCCTAAAAGATAAAGTTTAAGCTTTTTAACATTGCCTGAAGGATTTCCAAGATCTGAGCCCTGCCCAATTTCCATCTCCATGTATCACTTCTTCTACCCCCTCCTTCTCTTTCCTCAGCTACAATAATTCTGAGCTAATTTGAGCTATATATGGTATTTTGTACCTCTGAATATGCTGCACCTTTGGTGTGGGTTTGTTGTGGGTTGTGTATCATGTCATACTATGTTAAGTGTTGATGTGTTTTATCTCTCCCACTAGTCCTGCTGGGGCTGGTTTGATGCTGTCTTCATTTCTGTAGCCCCAGTGTGCGCAGCACATGGCACATTGTAAGCACACAATGGATGTTTTCTTGTTTTTGTTTTTTCCAACAGGTGTTTGTAGACTGGCCCCACATGATCATTTTAGCCCACACTGATTCTTCCTGCTTAACAGAACACTGGGCTTCATGAACATCTGCATATACCTGCTGTTGCCCACCTGGATTTCTAAGCAGTGTGACAGATCTTCTATCCCTAACCCCTGGGGTTTTTTTCTAGACCTACAATTTTATGCTCTGAGTTGCCCAAATAAGACACATGAAATTATTTTTTTCTTTTGAATTTTTTCACTCTCTAGTTCCAATTGCCCGGGCTGTACTGGTCGACATGGAACCTAAAGTTATCAATCAAACATTGTCAAAGGCTGCCCAGTCTGGCCGGTGGAAATATGGTCAGCATGCATACTTCTGTCAAAAACAAGGTTCTGGAAACAACTGGGCATATGGGTGAGAATAATTCCTCATGATTTTCAGTTTAGTTACAGCTACATAGTAGATTAATAGACAGTGAAGTTACAGCTGCACAGTTGAAATACCAAGCACATAATCTTGAAATTGTTGTTTTAAAAATTCGGAACTAGACTTCAGGTAGAAGAAAAGCTCATTCCATCTCTATGTCTGTGCTTCAAGTATAGGTAATGATGAAACCAAGGATCTCTTTTAACAGCGTTTTCTATCTTCTTCACTGTCATGCCAAATAACTTCTTATCAATACAATATCCATATCTGGCAAGTGTTCCAGTTATAGGAAATACAACAGGCAGTGCTTCCCAAACTGTGCTGCACATTAGAATTTCCTGGGATTCTTTGGGAAATCCCAGTGCCTAGGGCTCACTTCCAGAGATTCTGATCTAATTGGTTTCAGGTAAGGCCCAGATGTTGGGATTTTTCAAAGCTCCCCAGGTGACTCTAATGTGCAGCAAAGTTTGAGAACCACTGCTTGAGGACTGTTGTCATGAATATTGACTATTATGTTGTACTGTAAACTTGTACAACTGCCCGGTAATTGAAAGCTCCAGCCAAAGGAATGGTCCATAAAAGAGAGCTTTTGAGGGGAGGGGAGGGTTGAAGAGAAGTTGGTTAATGGATACAAAAATACAATTAGATAGAAGGAATAAGTTCTAGTATTCAACAGTACAGTAGGAAAATTATAGTTAATAATTTATTGTATGTTTCAAAATAGCTAGAAAAGAAGAATTGTAATATTCTCAACATAAAGAAATGTTTTCAGCAGAAATAGGATAATTAGGAAAAAAAATAAAAAATTTTAAAAAATTAAAAAAATGTTTGAGGTGATCTATATCCTAATTATCCTGATGTGATCATTACACATTGTATAGATGTATCAAAATATCACATGTATCCCAAAAATATGTACAGATATGATATATCAATAAAAAATACAAAAAATAAAGTGTATAAACCAAAACAAAAACCCAAATAAATAAAAAAGAGCTCTCTGTGCCCTGTAAATTCAATCTCCTAGTCCTATTTATCTTTTAAATATATTTAACTTGTATATTTAAAATTTTGTCAGTCAGGGTACCTGTACCTTTCATGAGGGTTAGTTCACTTACATAGTTTTGGACAAAACCTTTCTATCCTGTATCTTTTTCTCTGCATTGTGTCTCGCTGGTTAAATTGAAAGGTGTTTGTATTTGTTTCTTTTGCTATTGCATAGTTACTCTGTTCATGGACCCAGGCATGAAGAATCTATAATGAACCTAATCCAGAAGGAAGTGGAGAAATGTGACTCTCTGAGTGGTTTTTTTATTATAATGAGTATGGCCGGGGGCACAGGATCGGGGATAGGAGCCTTTGTTACACAGAATTTGCAAGATCAGTACGCACACTCTTTGAAAATGAATCAGATTATATGGCCTTATGGAACTGGTGAGGTACGAACATATTAACTGAAAATGTGTTTTGGGGGTGGCGCTGAAAAAGAAAAGAAAAGAAAATGTTATGTTTTGTGTTCTTTGCAGTTGAAATAAATGTGGGTAAAAGATTGATCTCACCCAGGTCTTCTTTGGGAAGAAGCTTCAGGAATGATTATACCATGTGGTACTTTCCTGAGCAATTCGTTTAACTTTGCTTAAACTTCTCCAAACAAATGAGATATCCTTCTTTTTAAAAATTTTAAGAAAATGATTTTGCTGCTTCTCTCAAAAATCCTTTCCTTACAATGCCCCTCTGGTTACAGTCTGTAAAGCAGGGACCTTGACCTCATATTGCAGTTCATGGCGCCATTGCCAACCTTCAGATAATTTTCATTTCATTCCATTGGGAAAAACTTTCTATATAAGCCAATTCCTATTGATCAGCCTCGTTGGAGAAACAAAACAGAAGTGAGACAAGTCACTATAGGAAACGATATAGGAAGCAATAATAGTAATAGCCAATGTTTGTTGTGCCCTTACTATGTACAAGGCAGTGTTCTAAGTGCTTTACTTGTGTTATATCCCTAATCCTTATAACTCTAGGAGGCCATTACAAATGAGGAACCCAAAGCATAGAGAGATTAAATAACTTGCTCAAGGTCATATAGCTAGAAAGAGACAGAGGCAGGATTTGAACCCAGGCAGGATGCCATTAGAATCTACCACTGTTCTCTCCTCCCTTTCTTATTTCTGATCTTTTTCTCTGCAGGTTATTGTTCAGAACTACAACTCCATTTTGACGCTTTCTCACTTGTACCGATCTTCAGATGCACTGCTTGTTCATGAGAATGATGCTGTCCATAAGATATGTGCGAAACTGATGAATATCAAGCAGATCTCCTTTAGCGATATCAATCAAGTCCTCGCACATCAGCTGGGAAGTGTGTTCCAGCCTGTTTACTGTGCAGAAGGCTCATTTCACTACAGAAGAAATCCACTAGGTATTTTTCTCCCTGCATGTTGTTTGTAGGAAAGCCTTATGTTCTGAAAGCCTCAAAGGTTATTCTTTACTGTCTCCTCCCCTCTGCCTGATGTTATCCTCTGTCTCCCTCATCTCAAAAACCTTCCTTTGGACCTGCTTAGCTCTCTGAACTGTCTTGCTGAAAAGTTTTGAGAACTTGCTAAATTTCACAAAAGAGTGGTAGATACCCACTGCCTCTATCCTTTAAGAGTCTTTCTCTTATTTTTTATAGCAACTTTATTGAGCTATAATTCACATACAATTCACCCACTTAAAGTACATAATGCAGGCTGGGCACGGTGGCTCATGCCTGTAATCCTAGCACTCTGGGAGGCTGTGGAGGGAGGATCGCTTGAACTCAGGAGTTGGAGACCAGCCTGAGCAAGAGCGAGACCCTGTCTCTACTAAAAATAGAAAAATTAGCCAGGCGTCGTAGCACGCACCTGTAGTGCCAGCTACTCAGGAGGCTGAGGCAGGAAGATGGTTTGAACCCAGGAGTTGGAGGTTGCAGTGAGCTATAATGATGCCACTGCACTCTACCCAGGACAACAGAGCAAGACTCTGTCTCAAAAAAAAATAAATAAAGTGTACAATTCAATGTTTTTTAGCATATTCACAAAGTTATACAACCATCATATTCATCACTCCATAAAGAAACCCTGTACCTATTAGCAGCCACTTTGCATTTTCCCCCAATTCCTCCAGTCCTAGGTAACCACTAATCTCCTTTCTGTCTCTATAGGTTTGCCTATCCTGGACATTTCATGTAAATGGAATCATATGATATCTGGCCTTCTGTGATTGGCTTCTTTCACTTAGCATGATGTTTTAAAAGTTCACCCAGGTTGCAGTATGTATTCGTATCTTTTTATGGCCAAATAATATTCCATTCTATGGATATATCACATTTTGTTTATTTCTTTACCAGTTAATGGACAGTTGGGTTGTTTCTACCTTTTGAGCCTTTATGAACAATGCTGCTGTTAACATTAGTGTACAAATTTTTGTATGGACATATGTTTTCATTCTTTTGGATATTTATCTAGGAGTGGAATTGCTGGATCATATGGTAATGCTATGTTTAATCATTTGAGAACTGCCAGACTGTTTCCAAAGTCGCTGTACCATTTTACATTTCCACCAGGAGTGTATGAGGGTTCCAGTTTCTCCACATCCTTGCCTCATTATTATGTCTTTTTTATTATAGTCATCCTAGTGGGTGTGAAGTTGTATCTCAGTGTGATTTTGATTTGCATATACCTGATGGCTAATGATTTTTGACATTTTTTTATGTGCTTATTGACTATTTGTGTATCTTCTTTGGAGAAACATTTGTTTAGATCCTTTGCCCATTTTTAAAAACTGGGTTATCTTTTTGTTATTGAGTTGTATGGGCTCTTTATATGTTCTGGATACCAGTCCCTTACCAGATACATGATTTGCAAAAATTTTCTTTCATTTTGTGGGTTTTCTTTTCACTTTCTTGGTGTCCTTTCTCTTCTTTAGGCCTTGCTACTGGCCTCCTCTCCTTCCTGTCTTCTAACGTGGCACTCTTCAGCTCCAAATCCAGTACTTCTCTTAGCTCGAATGTCTGGCTGCATTTTATGCTTGACAGCTCTCTCCTTGAACTTCCTCAGCCTGTCAGCTTGAGGACTGCACTGTCCTTCTTCTCCCTCCCTGATTGCTCTCTCTTGTATTTCCTGACCATTTTTACTTTCTTCAGTCCCCGAGGGCCTGCCTGCATTCATTACCCACCATTCTTTCTGCAGCTCTTATTCTTCAAGTGGCACCTTATCGGTTTAAATCATCTATCTGCAAATGAGCTCTTAACCTTTACCCCCAATCCAAATTTCTTTCCCAAAAGTTGCATATTCAACTTGAGAAAGCTAATTAAGAAAATAAAACAAAACAAAAAAAGCTTGCCTGTTCCAGTTTTCTTAGTTGCCTTCTGCTTCTTCAAATTTAGCATGTTCTGAATATATTCATTACTTTTTTTCCTGCCTTTTCTCCCCCTCCCCCCTCCTAAACCATTCCTCCTCTTCCTCAATTCCCTATTCCTATTACCCATGTTTCTCCTCCATCCACTTCTCTTATCTGTATGCTCAGACCTGTTGGTGCCATCTCTGCCATCTGTCTGCGTTCTTCTCCCACTGCCCCATCTCTCTAACATTGGTTCAGGGTCTCAGTATCTCTTGTTAATCTTGTCATACTGTCCCAGAATACAAAGCAAACCAAAGCAAATTAGCTTGTCTGTTCTCACTCTCTCTCTCTCTCTCTCTCTCTCTCTCTCTCTCTCTTTTTCTGCATAAAAACAGAAGCTTACATCTACTTGGATATTCCTTTCTTAAGCTGGTCTTTTTTTTTTTTTGAGGGTCTCGCTCTGTTGCCTGGGCTAGAGTGGAGTGGCATGATCATCGTGATCATAGCTCACTGCAATCTCAAACTCCTGTGCTCAAGCAGTCCTCCTGCCTCAGCTACCCAAGTAGCTGGGACTACAGGCTCATGTTACCATGCTCAGCTAAATTTTTAATTTTTTGTAAAGACACGGGCTCACTATGTTGCCCAGGCTGGTCTAGAACTCTTGGCCTCAAGTGATCCTCCTGTTTCCACCTCTCAAAATGCTGGGATTATAGGCATGAGCCACCACTCCCAGCCCTTAAAGTGGTCTTAATCCTACTTTCCTTCCTGTTGCCTTCCTCTTCCCCCTCCAGTCCATCTTGCACACTAGCTCCAAATGAGCCTCCCGAAAGCGCAGCCCTAATCCTTGTGCTCTATTACGCTTAATGTGTGGCTTATGTGTTACCTGCCAGATTTGTCAGAATTTTTTTAGCCTGGCATTCCCTGCCCTCATTATGCCCTAAACCCTAACTTTCTAGCTTCATCTCCTGCTGCTTTCTCTGCCTAGATCCCCATCTATATTTTTCATCCTCCTGTGTTTACTGTCTTTCTTCAATCTGGTACTTTCCTGCCCTGGTCCCTTTGCTCAGTATTCTCTTTCCTTATAAGTTGCTTACTTCCTTTTATATATATACATAAATCAAGTGATCCTCCCCCCTCAATCTCCCAAAGTGCTAGGATTATAGGCATGAGCCACAACTCCTCGTCTCTTCTTGATTCTATTTCATTGTAAATACAAGTTTCTAATGATAGATACATTACTCTCTTAAGGAATTACTAATCCTGTCTTCTTTCCAAGTAGGGTTTCATGTTAACAGGTTTTGATTATCATTGAACCAGATAAAATAAATAAAAGATCCAAGGAAAATTCCTAAAGGAATATTTAGTGAACACACAATGACAAGAAAAGCATGTCAGCTCTCATGTTTACTTTTTTTTCCTGAGGTTTAGCTAAATATTTCATTCACATTTTCCAATTACTCAGCTTCTAAATTCTTCTTTCCTTTTTGGCAAAGTATCTTTTCTCACCCGTGCTAAAATGGGTGCTAAAATGAAGCAGTCAAAGGATGTGGACCAAATGATGCGGTCTGTAGTAGACATTGTCTCTGAAATTTTATTTATATTTTAAAGTCTAAGCAATTCTGCCTTTAGAGGAGAAAAAACATTTGGTCCAGAAAAGCTTCAAATCATGGTTGTGTATAGGCCAGCGGCAATAGCGTGGAATAAAAAAATTTAGTTCAGATCTTTTTTTTTCTTTACAGGAGACTTAATGGAGAATTTAGTTCCTCATCCTGAATTCAAGATGTTGGGTGTTCGTAACATTCCGCAAATGTCTGAGAATTCATTGGCATACAGCACGTTTACTTGGGCTGGCCTCCTCAAGCATTTGAGACAGATGCTCATTTCTCATGCAAAGATGGAAGAAGGTAAAGGGCATTTTTAAAATATTCAGCCCACAAGCTGGGAAAAATGCCTGTCCTGGAGCTCTCAATATAAACTGGCTTGTACCAGTTGACATAATGGTCCCTTCTTCTGGTCTGGGAGGCTCCTATAGAAACTCACCAGGACATCCCAGGAGGGCTTCTTAATCCTTTCACAGTTTTATTACCAAAAAGTATTTCAGATGAATGCCATATTTTTTAAATTATTTTGATCAAAGGAATATACAAACATAGGTTTACAGATCAAGTAGGCAAAACTCACTTAAGGGTATATTTAAATCCACACATTGCACTGTATGTAAATTATATCTCAGTTTAAAAAAAAAGTCAAGTAATGTGCAGTATGAATTTATAACAAGGAAAACAGCAGTGTCCTGTCCTACACTTCCCCATTACCCAGTGGAAATTACTTTCAACATTTTTAGCTGTTTCTTCTGGATTTTGCCTCCATATTTCTAAATATCTTGCTTATATTGTTATTTGTTTTATTTTCCACTTTTAGATATTATCCATTGCATTCCCAGTGTGAAAATTGAGGATTGAATCGTTTATACCCCCTCTACACACACAAACACAAACACACACATGCATCTGTGTCCTTTCTCCCAATGTAGTTATAACATACTTTGGGGTTAGATCAATTTTCAGTGTTTGTATTACTTTTGCTCTGTAAATATTATTCACAGGAGAGCTATGTACTGTGTACACAGATTACTTTTTATTTCATGTACAATTAGTTTTTCCTCCTAGAGTTAACAATTATATTTATTTGGGCAATATTCCCTACACTTCTTACTAATTTTTTTGTTTTTTTGAGACAGAGTCCTGTTCTGTCACCTTGGCTAAAGTGCAATGGCCTCGTTATAGTTCACTGCAACCCCAAACTCCTGGGCTCAAGCAATCCTCCTGCCTCAGCCTCCCAAGCAGCTGGGACTACAGGCACACATCACGACACCTGACTAATTTTTCCTATTTTTTTGTAGAGATGGGGTCTCACTCTTGCTTAGGCTGGTCTTGAACTCCTGGCCTCAAGTGATCTTCCTGCCTCAGCCTCCCAGAGTGCTAGGATTATAGGCGTGAGCCACCATGCCAGGCCCCTTTCCTAATTTATCCTGAAACTTTTCTGTAAAAAGGAATCCCTTCTCAACATGTTCACACCCACCAGGTTTTTTGTTATCTGCTTGGAGATATCCTTTTAGAAGGCCTTGATCCTCCTGTTCCAGTCTGGGCTGATTGCTTTTCAGGCTTGAGGAGCCACCTGTACTGGCACTTCTGTTTGCCTCATCCTGTAGTATATCCCCTGTTTCCTAGATTTCAAATCTTCCACTTTCTTGGTTTCTTCCCTCATATTGGTGTGCCAGTATCCTCCAGGAGCTTCCTAAGAAAGAATACAGGGAAGGTAGTTTTTAAAGCTATGAATGTTATTATTCTGCCCTTTTATTCGAATGATAGTTTGGCCAGGAATAGGATTCTAGGTTGGGAATCATTTTGAAGGCAGTGCTCTATTATCTTCCAGCTTGCGGTGCTGCCGTTGAGAAATCCCATGTCATTCTGATTTCTTTTTTCGTTTTTCTTTCTTTTTTTTGAGATGAGGTCTTTCTCTGTCGTCCTGGCTAGAGTGCAATGGCATCATCATAGCTCACTGCAACCTCAAACTCTTGGGCTAAGGTGATCTTCCTGCCTCAGCCTCTGGAGTAGCTGGTGGGACTAAAGGCGTGAGCCATCACAGATGGCTATCATTCTGATTTCTAATCTGTTTTGTTCTCTCTTAAAACTTTTAGGATTTTCTCTTTATCTCGAGCATTCTGAAAATCCTTGATGTAGGTCTTTTGTTTATCTTGGTAGAATGTAAGTTTTATGAGGCCAGGGATTTTTATCTGTTTTGTTTACTGCTGTATCTTTGGAGCCTGGAACAGTGGCCCAACACATAGTAAATGCTCAACAATTACTTCTTAAGTGGGTTACTCTGGGCACTGAATGGACCCTCGTGGACATTGCCGGCTCATGTGGGTTTCATAGTTAGGTGATGTGCCTGGTCATTTTATTGGGGGGCTCCCAAATAGTAATATCATATTTGGCATACCTTACCTCTTGATTAGTTGCTTCCCCCTGTGGTCTCTTTCCTGAAGACATGATAAGCCTGCCTGGCTGCCAGTCTTTTCAGAGCTGGACAGGAAGACATGGATGGTTTCCTTTCCCTGTGAAAGCTTCCACTTGGTGACCAGGTTTTCCATAAGGTTTCCTGCAGGGCTGTCACTGAGGCTAGAGCCTCACGGGGTTAGCCTTTCCAGAGCAGAAACTTCCTTCCAGGATGGAAAGAGGCACTCTCCCGGTTGTAGGGAGTGGGCAAGGGGTCTGGGCTCTCACTGCTTCTCCTATGGATTTTTAACTAATCTTCCCGTTTTTTTCTGCTTTTATTTTTATTTATGTATGTATGTATGTCTGACTTGCACTGTTGCCCAGGCCGAAGCCCAGTAGCATGATCATAGCTCACTGTAGCCTCAAACTCCTGGCTACTCAAGCAATCCTCCCACACCAGCCTCCTGAGTAGCTGGTACTACAAGTTTGAACTGCCACAGCTGGATAATTTAAAATTTTTTTTTCTTTAAATGATGGAGTCTCACTGTGTTGACCAGGCTGATCTCCAACTCCTGGCCTCAAGTGATCCTCCCACCTCAGCCTCCTGAGTAGCTGGGATTACAAGTGTGAGTCACTGTGCCAAACTTTTTTCTGCTTTTAGTAGTGCCTGGCCTACTTCCAGGACCTCAACTGTGGGCAGAAGTTTCAGCTTTTATTGTTCAATCAGTAGCCAGTGGTTCATTTGCTTTCTAGCTTCCAAAACTTTGTTCCCATTATCTTTTCTCTTGTTCCCCTTTTTTTCTTATTTATGCCTTTTAAGAAATTCCTTGGCTGGGCACGGTGGCTCACGCCTGTAATCCCAGCACTCTGGGAGGCCCAGGCGGGTGGATCGTTTGAGCTCAGGAGTTCGAGACCAGCGAGACCCCCGTCTGTACAAAAATAGAAAGAAATTAACTGGACAGCTAAAATTATATAGAAAAATTAGCCGGGCATGGTGGCGCATGCCTGTAGTCCCAGCTACTTGGAAGGCTGAGGCAGTAGGATTGCCTGAGCCCAGGAGTTTGAGGTTGCTATGAGCTAGGCTGACACCACGGCATTGTAGCCCGGGCAACAGAGTAAGACTCTGTCTCAAAAAAAAAAACAAAAAAATAAATTCTTTTATTGTCTTAGGGGGCTTTGGAGAGAGAGTGGCAGTAAACTGGTATGTTCAGTCTGTCATGTTTAACTAGAAATCACTACTCTATTATTTTAGTAGCGTATATTATACCACAAATTAAAATAACTTAGGTTTCAATACTGCGAAAGTAGATTTTCTCAGTATTTACTTGTAATATTTTATTGGTTGTAGATTATAATGCCAGAGGTTTAGAGATAAGCAGAAAGTTCACATCTTAAAGTAGTGCTTCCCCAATTTTTTGGCCACGGTACCTGTTTTTCTAGAAATACTTGTTAATATCTTAAGGAACACAGTGTTCTTTAGGGTAGTGTGAGACGTGCTGCTCCAAGCTCTCTTAGGTCAATAAACCACAGTTTGCTTAGTTATTTTCTCATGCAGGACTTTAGGGAATCAGCATTTTTTCACAGTTATGGAGTCTGAATTTATAAATGTTTTCATGTATATATGAATAAATATATTTATGCCATAAACCAGATTAAAGGATTTTATAACTGTTCATGATATCAGACTGTTCTATATAAAGATAGACCCCGTTTCTATCACCATCAGCAGCAATGTATCTGTTTCCACATGTTCCAGCAACAGGGGGAATGAGTGATCCAAGAGGGAGCAAGGCAGAGGTTAATGTCTTTTATCACCTAGCTTTGGAAGTCACACGCTGTCATTTCTGTAACATCCTTTTGGTTATTAAGGTCAGCCCTATCCTATGTGGGAGTGTGTTGCCCAGGGGCCTGAAAGGGGTCATCTTGGAGGCTGACTACCTGCCCTCTGCCATCTGTCCCTAATGAATCTTGTCCTTCCACGTGCAGAATATACTCATTCCCTCCCAAGGCCCCCAAAAGTTACATCCCATTAGCATATCAGCCTGTAGTCCAGAATCTTGTCATCTAAAAGTGGTATGGATTTATATTCCTCAATTGAGATTTCTTAAGCATAGCCCTGTGAGCACAGTTCCTTGCCTCCTATACAGACTCTGGTGGAAGAGGCATGGGATAACTGGTAAACAATCCCTTCCAAAGAGGGGGAAATGAGAGGCACACGGAAGTGATTAGTTCATAACAATGTAGCAGGGCGCACATGCTGACAGTTTCTTGATAAAAATATAAGGTGTGGGAATAATGTTCCATGACTTCCGGCTTGACCTTCTGAGCCCAGCTAAATAATAATTGTACTTCTCTATTGATTATTATGTTTATTTAAAACAATTTAAAATTTTTATTTCACAAATTGATTTATTTTTGCTAGTTTGGATTAATTTATGTATGTGAAAACCGGAGAGGGTTAGAGGAGTAAGAGAAGTTTTCATAGTTTTCACTTGATCTCTCTGGTTTCAGTATAGTACCCTGCCCTTAATTCTTCCTGGTATTTCCCTAACCAGAGACCCTTAATCATATCCTCTCCAGAAAATAAGTTTAGTTTTCTGCTGGAGTATGGGAGTCATCGTGGTTTATAGACAAGTTCAGCAACATTCCTTAAGCAGGAGTCAAAGGTAGATGTGCTCTACATGATTGCAGAGCCAGCTTAAGAGCCAGTGGCTTTTAGCTTTTTCATGGATTCCCTTAAGGAATGCTGTATCAGCAATGTTCTGGAGGCATAGAGAACAATAATGTATGAAAAAATACAGGCATCATTAATGTAGAGTTAAAAGTGATCGTCACTGACTATGAAAACATTTTAGGAAAACCTTAACCAATTTATTTTGTTAAATTTTTCCTTTTATATATGCTAAGGAATGATATATGATTTTAAAAATCTGAACCTAATTTACTTTAAAGGAACTTTTTCAGTAAATATAAAATTTAAAAATTCCAAGCAATAAGTAATTTTATGACATAATTTAATCAACTTTTCCCCTTATAATCAATGGTATCTTAGATTGGAGGAAATCCAATATTATATTTATATATCCCTTTTTGTTACATGGATTGCAAATATTTTTATCTATCATTTTTGTCTTTTGCATGGCATTTTTTACCCTATAGAAGTTTTACATTTTTACGTGAGCAAACCTGTAAATCTTCCTTTGCAGATTTTGAGCCTTGCTTACCCTAAAGATATATAAAAATGTTCTCCAATATTTTCCAATATTTTCAATAGTTTTATGTTTACTTTTTTTTGGAGACAGAGTCTTGCTCTGTCACCTAGGCTAGAATGCATGCATTGGCGTCATCATAGCTCACTGCAGCCTCAAACTCCTGGGCTCAAGCAATCCTCCTGCCTCAGCCTCCCAAGTAGCTGGGACTACAGGTGCCTGCTACCGCATCCGGCTAATTTTTCTATGTTTTGTAGAGACAGGGTCTTGCTCTTGTTCAGGCTGGTCTCGAACTCCTGACCTCAAGCAATCCTCCTTCCTTGGCCTCCCAGAGTGCTAGGATTACAGGCATGAGCCACCTTGCCTACCCAATAGGTTTATATTTAAAACTGAAATATTAACCCGTCTTGGATTTATCTTTATTTTTGACAATGCTTTTTTTTTTTTTAACTTTTTCCCCTTTTTAATTTTATTTGCTTAACTTTCTTTTTATTTTTGAGACATCAGTTTTTCAGGGACCCACCTTTGAATTGGCTTATTCATTCCTTTTTTTTTTGAAACTCTTCAGATAGAGTTGATTATACTTATCTTTTACCTCTGAGTAATATGGTAATAAATTATCTAACAAGTACTACTTTGATAGCATATAAATTTTGTAATGGCTTTACTGGTATATAATTTAAATACCATATACTACATCTATTATAAGAATACAATTCAATTATTTTTTAATAAATTTACACAATTGTGCAACAAGTACCACAATCCAGTTTTAGAACATTTCTATGACCCCAAATGTTCTATTATCCCTCCTGGCTGTTTGTAGTCAATCCCCATTTTTATTCCTAGCCCCAAACAACCGCTGATATGCTTTCTGTCTGTATAGATTTGACTATTTTGGACATTTCATATAAATGGAATTATATAATATATAGTCTTTTGTGTCTGACTTCTTTCACTTAACCTAATGTTTTTGCGGTCCATCCATGTAGTATATATCAGTAGTTTGGTCCTTTGTATTGCTGAATAGTATCCCATTGAATGGATATACCACATTATTACAGGTCTAATAGTTGATGGACATTTAGGTTGTTTTCATTTTGTGGTTATCATGAATAATGCTGTTATGAACATTTGTATAAAAGTCTTTGTGTGGACATATGTATTCTTTTCTCGTAGGTATATACCTACAAGCCTCATTGCTGGGTTGAATGATAAGTCTATGTTTAACCTTTTTAAAAAACTTCTAAATTGTTTTCCAAAGCAGCTGTACCATTTTATATTCCCACCAGCAGTATAAAAGAGTTCCAGTTTTTCCACATCCTTGCCAACATCTGATATTGCTGAAGTCTTTTTGATTATAGCTATTCTAATAGAGGTGAAGCAATATCTCCTTGAGGTTTTAATTTGCATTTTCCTAATGTCAATGACTTTGAGCATTTTTCATGTGCTTTTTATCCATTTGTTTATCTTCTTTGGTGAAATTTTTATTCAAATATTTTTCCAGTTTCTTAACTGGTTTGTTTGGCTTATTGAGTCCTACATACCAAAATTTTTCTATTTTTGCTGACTGTTTGTTATTGTGCACTGAATATCATCCCTATCCTACGTATAATTTAAGAGTATCTGGCCAGATGCAGTGGCTCACACTTTGTAATTCTAGCACTTTGGGAGGTCGAGGTGGGAGGATTGCTTTGAGGCCAGGTGTTGGAGACCAGCCTGGGCAACGTAATGAGACCCCATCTCTACAAAAAATAGAAAAATTAGCTGGGTGTGGTGGCATCCACCTGTAGTTCCAGCTACTTGGGAGGCTGAGGCAGGAGGATCACTTGAGCCCAGGAGTTTGAAGTTACAGTGAACTATGATGACACCATTGCACTGTAGCCTGGGCGACAGAGTGAGACCCTGTCTCCAAAAAAAAGCATTTTTTTTTTTTTTTTGAGACAGAGTGTCGCTTTGTTGCCCGGGCTAGAGTGAGTGCTGTGGCGTCAGCCTAGCTCACAGCAACCTCAAACTCCTGGGCTCAAGCAATCCTTCTGCCTCAGCTGGGACTACAGGCATGCGCCACCATGCCCAGCTAATTTTTTCTCTCTATATATATTTTTAGTTGTCCAGATCATTTCTTTCTATTTTTTAGTGGAGACGGGGTCTCGCTCTTGCTCAGGCTGGTCTCGAACTCCTGACCCTGAGCGATCCGCCCGCCTCGGCCTCCCAGAGTGCTAGGATTACAGGCGTGAGCCACCGCACCCGGCCAAAAAGCATTTTTTTAAATATTTCCATTTGACTAGTCAATTTTTTGTTTTAGAGACGGAGTCTCACTCTGTTGCCCTGGCTAGAGTGCAGTGGCTATTCACAGACGAGATCATAGCACAACGCAGCCTCCAACTCCTAGGGTTAAGCAATCTTCCTGCCTCAGCCTTCCAAGTAGCTGGGACTACAGTTGCGTGCCACCACGCCTAGCTGACTAGTCAATTTTCAATCTTATTTTTGTTTTGTTTCTACAACCCTAAATATTTTGTGTGTGTGTCTTGTTTGAAGTATATATAAGCCAAGCATTGTGGCTCATTCCTGTAATCCCAGCACTTTAAAAAAGCATATACAGTGAAGTTTATCCTTTTCTTAGGTGTATGAATTTTGACAAACTAGTACAGTGTATAACCACCACCACAATTGAGGTAGAGTATTTCTACCATCCCCCAAATTTCTCTCACACCCCTTTGTAGGCAATCTCTCCCTCCACCCCCATACAAACTACACGTGTTTTGTTCTTATAGTTTTGCCTCTTAGAAAGTGTCCTATAAATGGAATCATACAGTATGTAATCTTTTGAGTCTAGCTTGTTTCACTTAGCATAATGCTTTTGAGACTTGTCAATGTTGTTGTATTTATCAGTAGTGCCCTTTTATTGCTGAGTTGAATTCCCTCATATGCACCTGTCACTATCTTTTGATATTCAATGATGAATATTTTGTGCCTTTCTCAGAATTGAGTAGTTTGAATAACTTTAGGTCAACTAGATTAGAATTTTTAAACTTTTACAGGAAAAATCAACTTTCATGTATCAAATACAAATTTATGCGCCAGAGCTGGGTGCGGTGTGGTTCACACCTGTAATCCTGGTAATTCGGGAGGCTGAGGTGGAAAGATCACCTGAGGCCAGGAAGTTTAGACCATCCTGGGCAACATAGTGAGACTCTGTCTGAAATAAAATACACAAGTAAAATACACATACCACAAGACATCTTTCTTCTCTTGTTCAAAGTCATTTATAAAATCTCTTGCTTTTTTTTTCTTTTGGTAGGTATTGATTGGCAAGTGCGACCTCCTTTATCAGGACTTCCTCCTCTTGGTAAAATGCCTCTCAACAAGGAGCTTCATTTTAACACTTCCATCGCTAACTTGGTCATCCTTCGAGGGAAGGATGTGCAAAGCGCGGATCTTGGTAAGAAATTAAGGTGAATTAAGATGTACGTGTTGCACATGGATGTGGTACATCATATACATGGTTCTTTAAAGTCCCTGTATTTAATCTTTTTTTTTTCCATCTCCAATGCTGATGGAAGGTCCCCATATTTAACCTTAGAGAAAGGAAAATAATACCTATGTGCTTTAGTGTCAAAATGTAATCATTGTATCAGTTAGTATGTGAGTGGACACCAAAACAGAAGTGGTTTAAACAAGATAAGATTTTTATTCTTTCTTCCAAACATCTGGTCTCTCTGTCGTCTTTACCATGTGGCTTCCTCCTTATAGTTCAAGATACCTTCTTGAGCTTCAGCCATCAAATCACACAGGACTAAGCAAAGAAGGGCATATCACACTTGCATTTCTATCCCATTTACTGGGACTAAGCTCTGTGCCACATCTAGCTGCAGGCATGGCAGTGAGTGCAGTTAAAATTTGGGGATTCTGTTACTAAAGAAGAAGAGGAGAACAGGAATTAATCGCTAGTCAACCAGTGGTCTCTGTGGGCAGCATTTTGTTACAAATTTTTTGGGAAGTTGAAAGAGCAGTAATTCTTATTAGCTTTGTTTTTCTGTGTCAGGTCTCTAGGTTCATTTTATCCTTATTTGATGATTTTATTAGTATCGCATTTGCTACTTTGTTTTGTGTGTTTTTTTGAATAGAGATGCAGGGGAGTGTCTCACTATGTTGCCGGGGTTGGTCTTAAACTCTTGGCCTCAAGTGATCCTCCTGACTCAGCCTTCCAAGGTGCTGGGATTATAGGTGTGAGCCTCTGTGCCTGGTCACATTTGCTGTTTCTTGGTGTGGTATAAAGAAAACCAAACAATCTACTCCCTGTAACACCCCTTAGACAAAGAACTAGTAATAATTTAAAATAGATCTTTTTGGCCGGGCGCATTGGCTCACACCTATAATCCCAGTAACTCGGGAAACTGAGGCAGGAGGATTGCTTGAGGCCAGGAGATTGAGACCAGCCTGAGCAAGAGCGAGACCCTGTCTCTACTAAAAATAGAAAAAATTAGCTGGGCATGGTGGTGCTTGCCTGTAGTCCCAGCTACTCGGGAGGCTGAGACAGGAAGATCACTTAGGCCCAGGAATTTGAGGTTGCTGTGAGCTAGGCTGACGCCATGGCACTCTAGCCCAGGCAACAGAGTGAGACTGTCTCAAAAAACAAACAAACAAAAAATTAAAAAGCAAAATAAAAGATTTCTGATGAAATAGATAAGAAAATATAGATTTAATAGTTTTCACAATTATTAATTTATACTATAAAGAATGGCTCCTGTTGTTTTTACTCTAGAGGGATTTAAAGATCCAGCTCTGTATACCTCCTGGTTACATCCTATTCATGCTTTGAACGTGTGGAAAACCCAGCGAGCCTTTAGCAAATATGAGAAGTCTGCATCGTTGGTGAGCAACAGCCAGTTCTTAGTAAAACCACTCGATATGATTGTGGGCAAAGCGTGGAATATGTTTGCTTCAAAGTAAGTAAAGAATAAATCTACAAACCTTTCTAACCTTAGGCAGATTATACAGTGTTAAAGCACGAGGTAGGATCTAGAATAAGCACGGTCACCACTTAGTAGGTGTGAAGCCTTGGGCATGTGGCTTCAGGCTTCATCATCTCTGTAATGGGTCCTAACTGAGAAAATTTGTGGTGCAGAATTAAATGAGATAATCATGTAAAACACCTAGTACAATGCCTGGCTAGTAAATGCTTGATAATAGTTTGACATTATTATTATTATTATATGGATATTATGTTGTTGACTAAATGAAGTTTCTAAGCCACGTGAAATTAAAGTAGAAATTTCATCGTAAGGCAAGGACAATAAGATAGTTTTCAAAACTAAGATCCTCAGGAGAGTGGAAGAGATCCTGATCTTCCTCAGTAAAATATACACTAAGTTAAACGTTGATACTAAGAAAAGTCCGCTTGATACTAAGAAATGTTTTAGCAGGTTTCTTGACCTCTACCACAATTACTTAATATCGAAGCAAAATTCCCCAGATGACTGAACTAGGCCTCTACTTTGATTAGCTACGATTCCCAACAGCCCCGCCGTCCTGCATGTGGCTGTTTTGTAAGCCCCACCCCTCCGGACTGTGAACTCTCTGTCCTCTTCAGGTATCATTCTCTTCCCACTCTCTTTACATGGCAGCAGCCATTATTATGTCAATTTAGTTTATGTCTGCCCTTGATATTCTTTATGGACGAGATTTCTCCTGCATCAGAACATTTTGGGGGGTGGGAGGGATTGAGAGGACCACCCTGGCATAACTACAGATTAAATGTCTGAAAAGCACTTGGGAGGCTTCACATTCCTAGAACTGGACTGATGTGTTTTCCAGCTTCAAGCCTTAGATGAAACTTTCCAGGCACTTTTTAGAGTTTATATTGAACCCAGTCATCTCCTGTAGGGTGTTAAACACGTGCTGGGCGGACAACCACGTCTGAACATGCAGCTTTTTCCTGTGTGCCTCTTCTTGTCACTCTCTTGGACACTAAAAAAACAGGGAGTTTGACATAAATTCTGAAAAGCTCACTAATGTTTGGAGTAAAAAATGTAGCAAATATAAGACTTCTAAGAGATTCTGTGATCTTCAAATGTTCTAGAAAAGGTCTATTTATTGTTTGTTTTTAAGAGTTATTCGTTGGCCTGAAACTTTTTATTTTACGTTTTCCATTTGTGGGTTTTTTGTTTTTTTGTTTTTTTTTAACCAGAGCCTACCTTCATCAGTACACAAAATTTGGAATTGAAGAAGAAGACTTCTTGGACAGTTTCACATTGTTAGAGCAGGTTGTTGCCAGTTACTATAACCTCTGATCTTGAACAAAGGAAAACAGTATCTTGAAGTATTTTCAATACTACTTTGTGAGGTTTTCAAAGTCCTAACTGTTAAAATAACAAAGTAGAATGCTGAGTCCATTCTGTATAGTATACCCACAGAAAAGGAAGATATCTTTTAAAATGAAGAGTAGCATGTTTTCAATGAAAACATCTACTTGGTATTTCATTTGTAAGAAAAAAATTGGTGCTTCGATAAAGAACTTTGGAAACATTTTGCTGAGATGTTGGAACTCTGGAACTATCCAAGAAAAGGGAATAGTCCGTTTGTCTTCATGTTCCTAAATCTTTCCACTTTACTCCAAAAAGTATTCACTAAATACGAACTAAACTTTCATAGCACAATTTTAAGCTAAGAAATTGTAATTCTGTAGAGATGCTTTGAACCACAAGAGGGAGACGTTGTCAAATTCTTCAGTTTGAACATCTATTTTGAATATTGTCTAACAGTGTTAAGAGTTTCCACTCTAAGCAACTATTTAAAAATAAATGTCAGGATTTTGGTAAGAAATGCTTATGCAGAAATAAAAAATAAGTAAATATGTATTTTGCTTTTTTAAAACTCTCAGTATGAGAAAATTGGGTCACATTTTGTTTTGGATCACGGAATACCAGAGCAAAAGTTGATTTTATTACACTATTGCTTTAAAATTGCTTATAGGGGCCACCTGCAGTTGCATCTATAATCCCAGTGACTCTGGGGCCTGAGGCAGAAGGATCCCTTGAACACAGGAGTTCAAGACTAGCCTGGGAAACGTAGTGTGACACCCCCCACCCCACACCCTGTCTCTTTTTTTAAAAAAAAAAATTGCTTATAGGTGTTTAACTGCTATGGCTATATGCTTTGCAGTAAAAGGGGTAAGAACTTTCACCTAAATTTTTCACTAAGTTGGGAAAATTATCACCAAGGAAATACAGTGCTTGATGAAATTGACACACACAGATGTGGTTTCACTCAGAAGGACAAAACACACTTGAAAATTGGCAACTAACTTTGAGGGAAATGGTGTATTTCCATAAAACACATCACATGCAATGTATTAACTAACAAATGTAAAATGGGAAACAAATAGGAACATGTGTCCTTTCGGCCAAATCTACCAGTAGTGACTTTTATATGGAAAAATGACAGTTCACAGCTTCTTTGGTTTCTTCCTTTTCTTTCCATATGGAAATAATTACCTTTTTGCTGTTTTTCTTATCAACTGTTGCTATGATTTAAAATACTGAACCATATCTTATTTCTAAGGAATGTAAAAAGTGGTCTGTTCAGCTGCTAAAAGGCACACCCCACTGCTGCATTTCGTTAACCCAAGTATACTTGAAAAATAATTAGATCATAATTTTACAAAACAAAGTTAAAGTAATTGTTTAGGCATTGAAGGAATCCAAAGACTGAAACAATTTCCCAGACTAAACCAGCATTAATGAAGATTTGTAACCGAATTATCTCAGGGCTTAAGCTGACTCTGAGGAACCTGGCTAGAAGTTAAGCACAAAGGAAGTCATAAGTTGAAATCATTTGATATTTGAGAAAAGAATAGGGCCAAGTATATTTCTAATTTGGCAACTCATGGCATCAATGGCAGGTGAACATTAGACAGTTAGGCAGAGCTCTGCATCCATTCACTTATGCAATTTGACCTTTTTTTTTTTTTTTTTCTGAGACAAGGTTTCACTTTGTCACTCAGGCTTCAAGTGACCCCCCTGCCTCAGCCTCCCAAAACACTGGGATTATAGTCATGAGTCACCACACTCAGCCTTGACCCTTTCTTTGGATCCACAACTGCATTATTTGATAAGTGTGGGTATCTAAATATTTTTAAGCTTGTTTTAAACATTTACATGGAAAATAGTTTTTTCTTGTCTATTTGGAATAACAGAATTTTTGCTCTTAGAGTTGTGATTTGAAGTTAAAAACACAAGGAAGCTAATGTCAAAGTTTCAAGATATGGAGTGGCATTGGAAATGGACTTTGATTTCTGTGGAGAAAATGGCCAGTCAACGAGGACAATATTAGAATCATAAACTCCTAGGCCTACAGATCCAGAAAACTTCAAAAATGTAATTTCTTAGATTACTGGGTAACTGGCATACTAGGTTTTCAAACATTATCCTGTAGAGGCAGGATGCACCCCTGTGCACAGTGAGTACAGCGTAAACGCAAACTGTTTCTTACTTTCAAGCCTTTTCCATTTCTTTTTTTTTTTTTGAGACAGAGTCTCACTTTTTGCCTGGGCTAGAGTGCCGTGGCGTCAGCCTAGCTCACAGCAACCTCAAACTCCTGGGCTCAAGCGATCCTACTGCCTCAGACTCCCGAGTAGCTAGGACTACAGGCATGCGCCACCATGCCCGGCTAATTTTTTCTATATATTTTAATTTCTTTCTATTTTTAGTAGAGACGGGGTCTCGCTCTTGCTCAGGCTGGTTTCGAACTCCTGAGCTCAAACAATCCACCCACCTCGGCCTCCCAGACTGCTAGGATTACAGGCGTGAGCCACCATGCCCGGCCCTTTTCCATTTCTTATCTCCCCCCATTTGTGCTTTTCTCAAGAGCTCTTTACTCTGAGCTGTTGAACCTATTTCTTCTTATGCATTCCCTCTTTCTTCCAGCTTTGAGCTCCCTGCTCCCCTTACTACTCAGTCAATCTGTAACATTTCTCCTTTATGTATTTTATTTTTTTAGAGACAGGGTCTCACTCTGTTGCCCAGGCTGGAGTGCAGTGGCATGGTCATTAGCTCACTGCAGCCTCGATCTCCTGGGCTCAAGAGATCCTCCCGCTTCAGCCTCCTGAGTAGCTGGGACTGTAGGCACACACCACTGCACCTGGCTCTTTCTCCTTTATTTTACCCATCACTTAGAAACTCATTAAGTGTGCCAACAGTTCACTGTTACCAGCCAATTCATTCATCCAACCAGTAACTATTCAGTGCCAGGCATTGAGCAAGATGTTAAAGATAAAGGGATCAATATCATATAGTCTAAATGAAGAAGCTTACAATGTAGCAAGTTTCTTTGGATGTCTGGTGCTACATTTCTAGCTTCTTTTTTTTTTTTTTTTGATTTAATAAAGTTTTATTTTTCCAAATATACAGTTGGTTTGACCTGTTCACGCATCTTCACCAGCAGCGGGGGCATCTCCACCCTTAGTATTTCTGGTGTAAATTACTTGAGCTCTGTGCTTTGAAACCAGCTTGATAAGTCCTTTACTAAGGAGCTCCTGAAGGGCTGCCCTGGCCAGAGAACCTCGAATCTTCAGTCTCTCAGAGACCACAGCTGGGGTTATAAGCTTATAGTTGGGAACTTCCTTACAGAGTTTGTCATACATAGCTTTGTCAAAGAAGACTAAGTTGTTGAGCTTGTCCCGAACTTTGCCTTTGGACCACTTCTTCTTTTTGGCCTTGCCCCCAGATTTGTTCACTGGGTCTTTGTCTTTCTTGGCCGACTTTCCGGCATCTTTCTTCTTGTCATCCTTGGGTGGCATTGCGAAGCTTGGGGAAGCACTGAAACTACCGCAGCCTCGTTAAGATGTCGGACCTGTTTTTTTTTTTTTTTTTTTTTTTTTTGAGACAGAGTCTCACTCTCTTGCCTGGGCTAGAGTGCCGTGGCGTCATCCTAGCTCACAGCAACCTCAAACTCCTGGGCTCAAGTGATCCTTCTGCCTCAGCCTCCTGAGTAGCTGGGACTACAGGCATGCGCCACCATGCCCGGCTAATTTTTTCTATATATTTTTAGTTGTCAAATTAATTTCTTTCTATTTTTAGTAGAGATGGGGTCTCGCTCTTGCTCAGGCTGGTTTCAAACTCCTGAGCTCAAACAATCCGCCCACCTCAGCCTCCCAAAGTGCTAGGATTACAGGCGTGAGCCACCACGCCCGGCCCATTTCTAGCTTCTTAATTATTGCTTATTATCTTGCCTGTGTGCATATTCACCTTTTTTACAGGACAGATGTCATCCAAGAAAGAACAATGAACTGGGAGCTCTAGTCTGGGCTAGATTTAAATGTTGAAATGTCTCCTCACTGGCTCTGTAGACTCTACTTTGCAGGGTACATACCAGTGATTCTTCTCCTGACCACCATGTTTATCACACTTAAATTCTTGTCCAAAACTTTGTTTTAAAACATGTTCCATATGTCCCTATCCCACTATTCTCTCCATGAGCCCAAAGTTTGGCAGTCAATCCTTTCTTGTTTTGCCACCTACGTACCAAATATGGCTTTATCCACTAACTTGCCATTTTTGGCCAACAATCAGTTATTTAATCTAAGAGACATTTGCTCATCTGTATCAATCACGTTGTTTCCTATGAGTTTTAGGAATGTGAACCAAAAAACCTGGCTTTATATTTTTAACTAAATAACTTCCTACTCCTACACCCTGAAATGTCTCAGATGATGCAATGTCAGCCTTATTAATAATAGATGGAATCCCATTTCTGCAAGCAGGAATGCTTGAACAAGGAGCTAAGATAAACAATGTAAATATTTCAAGTTTCTGGGAAACACAGTATTGGGTCAGTGTAGGACAAAATATGGCATTCAAGCTATGGAAAAGGGGGAAATTAATATAAATTCCTAACCACTTAGCCTACAGGGAGCCAATGAAGCAGGAAGAGATGAAAAGGAAGGTCAGGGAACTGATGATGCTCCCAAAGAATTGCTAATAACTTACAAGCATTTAAAAGAAAAAACTCGATGGTCTTTGAATTATCGACTTTACCTAATGAAGAATAGCATAAAAAGAAAGAGTAAGCTAAATTACATATCACTTAGCAAATAATTCTGTCTTACCCGAATTTATCTCCTTTACCAATGATGGAGCCAATATAATGGGTACTTTTTTTCTTTTAGAGAGAGAGTCTTGCTATGTTGCCCAGGCTGTGTAGCAGTGGCTATTCACAGGTGTAATCATAGCACACTACAGCCTTGAACTCCTGGGATCAAGCGATCATCCTATCTCAGCTTCCTCAGTCCCTAGGACTAGGGGTGTGCACCTCTGTGCCTGGCTTTGATGGATACTTGATAATGAATTTATAAATAATTA